GATCAACGTGAGTCAATAAAATTACATGACCATGATAATTTTTATTTTATTTTAAAAAGAGTAACTATTAAAAGCTAAATAGAAATAACATATTTATATTTTTCTTGAATAAAATTAATTCTACAACCATTTTTACATCATAAATATTTTTAGTTGCTTACTCAAACCTTTAAATTTTATATAGTAATTTTAGGCAGGAATCCAGCAACTCCTACATATAAACATAAAATATTTTATAAGAAAGTCCCTTTGAAAATTTGCATATTTAAACTTCAAGATTCATATCATGTGTTAAAAGTACAATTTTAGTTTATATCAACATAAAGGGTGGTTATGTTGGGGGGAAAGTTGGAGTCCAGAAAATTTTAATTAGTGATCTGCAAAATTTTGCAGATGTTTCACAGATCACGAATTAACTTTATATTTCAAGGGGTAAAAATCCTTTATTTTGTCCTCAAAATGTGATTTTTTTTTAATTAAGATTAAATAAATAAGATAATAGTACTGGTATGATTCAAAAATCACTAAGGTTTTAGTCAATTTCCTAATAAATGCAATCCTTTTGGAAGTTTAGATTATTTACAACAAACATATTGTTTTTTATTTTACCATTGCTGAAAAGGTTATATGTCTGCTTTTTATTTAAAAGGGTCATCCTAAATACATAAAGGTTCTTTTTTTCTTAAATACAGAACCCTACAAATTAGTATAAGATTTTCATGGTGAAAATCACTCATGCCTCCATAAGACTTTAGTAACTTTAGTAACATGTGTTATATAGACAATAATTAAATTATTATTTATTTTTGTTAACAATACCAATACAAATTTATTAACACATAGATGAAAGAAAATATAGATGATAGAGAGGTTAGTTAGCCATCATTTAAAATGTATTATTAATTATTATTATTATTATATCAGTATATTGTTATTAACATGAATGTATCACTGAAATGTAGAATTTGTAAGTCATGTGATAGAAAAAAATTTATTTTAATTTAAATAATACAATAAAAAAAATCAAATAAATATGGTCAGTGTATAAAAACTTGCTGATCAATTTTTGTGCATGTTGTACAATATTTTTTGAGGAATTGTGCAAAAGTTGTTTAAAAATTATGCATGTATGCACAAAAAATTGTAAGTAGTGTAGTTTTTTTGATTTTTTTGTGCATTATACATAGAAAAATGTAATAATGCAAAAGGTTCTCATTGAATTTGTGCACTATATTTAAAATTTTTGTTTAGAGTCTGCACAAAAATATTTATCTCATTGTGCACAGTTTAAGGGGGTTATGCACATGAATTTTATACACTGAATATGGTGCAAGTCACCTAGTCCCACAACTTACTGCGCCTCGTGGACAATTTTGGGAAAAATATCAAATCTCAGAATTGTAAGTTGAAGAGACTGAGCCATAAATATAATAGTAAATAATATAGAAAGTATCACGGCAGATACTTAAGATATTATAAATATCATTGAGATGTGCTGGCTCAGGCAGATAACAAAGGACTGCTGAGAAAATGTTACCAGATAGGGAGAAATAAAACTTGCCCTGTAAACAGATTAATAGCTTGAGTGCTATTACAGCCATAAATAAAGAGAGAGTAATTAAGAATTAAATAATTAGATACTACCATAAATCAAAATAAATATTATTTTAACCAAATAAAGAGATTTGTGAGAGATGCGGATTTTTGATCTCACAATACAATTATGATGTTAAAAACAATATTGATCCCTGAAATTCTTTGGTAATACCAATGTTCACTTTGTCTGGTTTTGTTGCAGCATGCCCCATATATTCTTTTGTAATTGGGTCTTGTGTTAATCAATAAATGTGAATTATATTTTCTTTATCATGAAGCTCATATAATTTTGGACTAAAATAATAAATAAAATGTTTAATTACAACAATAATAATCTGAAGCCAATACTAATAAATAATTTGAATTATGTAATTTTTTAATGACACAGTTCTGTTTATACTAGTTCATTTGTTATTTTCATAATTTATACTCTTCAAACTATTTAACCAAGCTTTGTATATAATTGCAAACCCACCTTCACATATCTTTTAATATTCGTTAGATAATCATAGTTGTTACATCTTTTTACTTTAAATTGTGCTTTTTTAATCAATTGATCTAATGCTTCATTGCCACTAGTCCATTGCATTATTGACACCATGCCAAATTAGTAATTTTCCATACCTTTCATCCCCTCTCTTTGATCATTTTTTTCAGTAAAAGTATCATGATGTTTATTTTCATTTAAAGTGTTTTCCGTTCTAAAATTTATTTATATTTTTATTTGTATAATTTGTCAAAAAAAATTTTTTTTCCCAGCTACAAATGTATATCACGTGAACAAGTGGACAGATGGATTAAAATATAGAACAAGCAATGATCATCTTTATTCGTTATATCACTCATTACTCACTATCAAGGTAAAATTATCATAATGATAAATGGCATATTAATACATTAATATATAAAAATATCCGGTAAACCAAATATTATATAAAAAATCAGTAATATCAAAGTTAAAATAATTATAAGCGGATTCGATCCTGAAATTTTATCCGTAAAAATCGAGGACCACTAAATCGTGTATTTAGATTTTATGTAATAAATTTTCTAATATTTTTTTTTGTTCTTCAACATTGACAATTAATTTACCGACAATTAACTATATATTTGCTATTTGTAACTTCGTAAATAATACGGTGAGACGGATTAAACAAATAGAGCATGCATTTACTCAAAAGATTAAAATCTTGGACATCAATATTAATTAATAAAAATTTGTTTTTATAATATGTGCTTATTGATAATAACAATGACAAGATTTTATATTTTATTACCTAATTGGGTAATCCATCCGGTATAGTTGATTCAATTTAACATAAAAATGGATGTTAATAAACTAATAACAAAATCATAGATTTTAAAAAATGAAAATAATCAATGATTAAATGTTAATAATTACCATTATTATTACCAATAATTGTCACTTTATTGGAATTAATAATTTGGGGAAGACTTGTAATTTTAATAATCTGCTAGTGTAAACAGCATTTAGATGAATTGTTGCAGTGATTGTTGATGAAATTCCGTCCATTTCATCAATTACTTTCCTGGTTGGTTTTTTAATACCATCACTAAGTAAAATTAAAACTTTCATTGCAGTTGTATGTTCATCTGGATTGGCATCCATACATCTGTAAGCTAATGCAATATAGAATTTTGGTGTGTTATTTTAGAATCCAGGACTTGCGGCCTTTGCATATTTTCATTGCAAGATCTTCATTATATGCCAAATTATTGAATAGTCGTAAAGAGGATACGAGTAAGAATAAACGTAGGATCTATATAGGCAATTTTTTCAAATAATAAGTTTCTTTAACATAACTATTAACCCTGATGATCATTCAGTACAAAATACAAATAACGACATTATAAATGATTTTAATGATACTCCGATTAATAATGTTAATAATGTTAATAACATCCAAATAGGGATTGGAACCAGGTTGGGTACATCCAGATCAGGGTACTCGGGTAAGGTTTTTTTGGACAGGTACAATCTCTAGTGGATATCAAATTTTTAAAAATCCTTTAGACTCCATTTCAATCCCCCCACTTATGCAGCCATTAAGAAAGATTTAAAATTTATCGTTATGCTTCTTATCGATAAGTTTATTAAAAATAAATATTTTTTATTTAAAGCATAACTCAATGAAAACTTTTTGACATGTAAATTCAGAAACTTAGTATTAGTATTAGCAATCTCTGTCCATATTCTAGTTTCACTCGAAAAACTTTTCTTTACATTCTAGTCATAAAAATGAATGGAATCTCTGTCCCTCGATCAAATTTAAAGCTTCGAATAACCTTTTTTTTATCCAAATTCAAATACACCAGATTTTTTTACATTATATTGACCGAAAAAATTTGAATGTCTCTAAATCTAACCCACTCGGCGTTAATAAGCCATATGGTTTATCATGAAATACAAAACTATCAAAACCCAAATAATATAAAGGTAAATGACGCGTTATGGTGAACCCACCAGAAGAAAAGGTTAAATTGGAGAATATAGGACATTTGCATGTAATATTTTTGATGACAGCAATTAATAGTTATTAGAAATAAATAAAGAATTTGTATTTGCTATATAATTGACTAGCCAATTCGTGATGTGAAAGTGTACAGCCATGAGTTATATATAATAAGTTGGACACATTCCGAGATATGCTTTATGCTTATTATCACAAAGACCAATGTATGAGAAAAATTTCGTAAAATTAGTAATTCGAATAAATTAGTAATTTCTCGAGTATTTTTCACATCATGTCAATTGTAAATCTTCAGAAACTTTTCGAACAAAATTGTGGCTTAAAAGACACTGTTTAGTACATTTTACCAATACTCAATTCAATCTACCAATAATTCTACACAAAAATTGAAATACACCATCCTCTAATCCAATGACAAATTCAACGCAAATAGCCAACACATCCATCATTTGCACCACCAATCCTTGTGTTGCTGTAAATCATCTGTTATTTTTCCAAAAAAAAAGACTGTAAATACATATAATCTCTCTATTTCGTCTCTATAAAAAACCTTTAAATAGTTTTCTAAATTCATTCAAACCTGGAGCGCTGGATGGTATAATTGAAGTGACATGCTGAAGTTGTCAAAAGAGTGGTAGTTGAGCATTTGGATTTCAAAATAAAGTGGCTTGACAAATAAATAATTTTTAGACAAATGGAAAGATGTGTGTTCGCTGTATAATTTCTAATCATCATGTGAATTTATTTTATATTAATATATAGTAATAGTCAGATGATACTGGTTACGTTATATATAAACACGTGATAATTTGTACTACTATTTTGGGACGACAATAAAAATATTCCTTTTTTCTTGGAAAGTCAAATTTCTATTTAGCTTTTTTTTAAAAAATAATTATCAAAAAAAAAAAAATGGATGCGGACCAAAGAACAGAAAATCTTAAGACATTATTGTCTATGTTTCCTGATGTTGATTCAGAAATTTGTGAAGCAGTTTTAGCATCAAACGATAATGATTTGGAAACAAGTATAAATACTTTATTAAGTATAACTGACCCAAGCTATGTTCCTCCAGAACCTCCTGCTACTATTACTACTCCAACACCAGAACAACAACCATTACAAACACCATTATCAACAAAAAGAACAGTAACTACTCCATCCCCATCACCAAGATCACCATTTGATCAAAAAACTACTACAACTGAAGTAAATAAATAAATTTTATACGCATATATACATTTAATAAACATACATATAAATAATAATCATACTTACATATATTTTTAGTCTCGTTTTTTTGTAACTAAAGAAGAACAGATAAGACGTGATGAAGAACTGGCAAAAAGACTGGCCGCCGAAGATCAAAGTAACTAAATAACTAACTAGATATTTAATTAATTAATTAGTTGATTGTAATAAGTAATTAATATATATATATTTTATTTTATTTAATAGTTGAATATGTGGAAGAGCACAGATCTACTCAACAACACCGTAGACAACAACAACAGCAAGAAGAGGAAGATCAATCATCTCCTTTTTCTGATTTTACAGAAGAATTGCCTGTTATTAAGGAAAAGATTGTTCAAGCTGCCGATAGTAAGTATTCAAATTACACCATATATATTAAATTACAGTGTTATTTTCCTATTTCTCCTTCATTTATTTATTTATTTTAAAATAAAAGCCACTAAAAAGAAAGTCAAAGAATGGTACGAAAAATTGAAACAACAATCGGTAGCATTACGTAACGAATACGGTTACGATAATGATAATGACAACAATAACAATAATCAAACTCAAAACCAAAACAAAAATTCTCAATATTCAAATTTACCCCATGATGAATCTGATAATACTTTGCTTAGTGAGGATTTTACCACTTCTTTGAACAACAAAAGTAATCGTCGCCAGAATCTTGGTGGTTTTACTAGTGATAGTAAAAGTAATAATTATAATAATAAAAGTAATATCTATGATAATGATAACAAAGGCAATTATAACAACAAAACTAATAGTGATGATAATTTAAGATCTTCTCCATTAAGATCTCAACAGCCTGTTTATGGATCTTATGAAATCGACCTTGATAAGAAAAAAGATTCTTATTCTCCTTTCAAGATCATTGAAAAAGATAATGATTTAATAACTATTTCTTCTTCTTCTAACATTAATAACAATAATATAAAGAGTGATAGTATTAGTACACCAAAGAACAATCAACAAAAATCAACAACTGATTTTCCTCCTTATTCAATATTTGTTAAAGAAGAAGAAGATGACGATGAAAAGGAAAAAGAAAAAAGTAGTGGTAAAAGTCTTGATGCAGGTATATTAACATTATATATGTGTGTGTGTGTTCATGCATATAATATTTAAAATTAATAATATTAATTTTTAAATAATAGTGTTTAATGAAAAATTAAATATCACTACAACAAAATCATCATCTACATCATCTAGCAGTACTAATAATGCTACTACTAGCAGTGATGATAATAATGAAAACAAATCTCCTTCATCTAATACAAGTAAATAATCTTTTTTCTCCTCTTCCTTATCAACATTAAGAAAATTTTACTAATAAATAAATATTTATCAATTTGTTAATATAGATGTTGAAGATATTAAAAAAGATTCTGAAGTATAATAAATATTATATTATATATTTAATTATAATTAATTATTAATTATTAGCAAATAATTATTAGCAACAAAAAATACTTTTATTATTTTGTAATGTGTAAAATTATATGTAAAATTATATTTATTCATTATTCCATTTATATATAATTTTATTATAAAAATAAAATACATTTTTTTAAATGCAAAAATTAGATAACTGATGAGTAAAGCATTTTTTTTTTTTTATTTTTTAATAATAATAATGGTTATAAAAAATTTTCTTTATTAAAAATTTATTATTCCAATTATATAATTATAATAAATATATATATATATATAATTAATAATTTTCTTTATTTCTTTTATAAATAAACTCTTAAAAACTACTTACCAGTCAAATCAATAATGTGTACCATTTGATTTTCTATTATTAATAATATTACCATTTCCATAATATTGTTCTTCTATTTTCAATCTTTTACTAAACAAAAATAACAAAAAAACATAAATGTAATGTAAATAAATAATAATAATAATAATAATAATAATACAATTATATTACTTGTTTCTTGTATCCTCAAATTCAATAACATCATCAAATTCATCATCATCTTCAATATTAATATTGTTTTGTTGAACTTCTATTATATCAAATTCTTCGAACTCTTCTTCCTCGATGATATTTTTACTAATATTCGGTACTTCCGGCGACAAATACATATCTTCTATACCATCTTCAACTTCCTCAATAAATTCACTTGACACTTGATTTCTCAAATTTGCATAATATGATTCTAAATCTACATATATAATAAAATATATGAGATATATTATCAACATTATTACATTTTTTATAATTATTAATTATTATTATATTATTATTACATGATGCGTTCCCATCATCCTTTTCATTTAACCTTCCAATTTCATTCTTTTGATCGTCATCTTCTTGAATTTCCACTTTATTATTATTTGAAATCATCACTTCGCCTGATACTGTGCTAACAACGTGCCAAATTGGAAGTTCATTCTGTTGACTTTTTATATTTTGAATAAAATATATATATATATATATTCATATTTATAGAAAGTGATAATTTAATAATGACAACAATTTTGTGAATTGTAATTATTCATATGATTATTATTTAAATCAAATTTATTGTAATTACCGTTTCTTTTCAAGCTCTGCTTGTCTTTCCGCCTTTGAAGCTTCATTGTCTGATTTTAAGACCACATGGAAATCACCAGTTTGTAAATTACCATTTTGTGAATTTTGCATATCTTGGTCCTCTAATCAATCAAATAATCAATCCATTAATTAAGAACCTATATATTTATATGCGTGTGTTATCACATTATTTGACTTGATTTGATTGTATACTAACGTGTAGAGCCTGATCCTGAACCTTTAGAATTTGGTCCTCTTGGAAAAGTACTCCTTTGATTATTTATTTATGCATATATTCACATATTTATTTTATAAAAAGTTTTTTTAAAAAAATTCTAATAAATAAATAAATAAAAACGATGCATACGCAGGGATTTTTAATTTATCGATTTTTTTCAATAAATCAATTATAGGTTGACTTTGCTCCATAAACCTAAACAATTAAACAAATAAACAATATTTTTGATTTTAATTTCTTTTTCCCTGTATTAATTACCCAAATGAACATTCATTCATTTATTTATTTATTACCTTCCATGAAGTTTTTCAGTTTCTTTAACATTTTCGGCATTATCATTATGTATCAATTCAGTACCACATACATCACATAGAAAAACATGTAAATATTGATCAAATAGTTCACGTATTTCAAGTGGTGTGAATGTTTTCTTGCATCCTGTACATAAATATCCTTTATTCTCCAACTCCTTTTTGTTTTTTAAAAATAAAATAAAATCAAAATTGATTTTGTTATATAAAAAATAAATGTAAAATAATAATATTATGATTATCATTATTTTTTTTTAAAAAAAACATTACATTTTTCATACAATCATTAACCATCTCCCGGATTTTACATATTTTCCATTTAATAACATTAACAATCTTTTAATAATATAAAAATTAAAAATCAATTCAACTCAATTCAATACAAATAAAAATTAAGTATCTTTACTTGTTGCCAGTCTATATAATAACAAGTTCTAGGAATTGTACGTTGTTGTTGTTCGGATTTTTTAGGTTCGGTAATTGTTGAAGTTTTAATAAGGCATGCTTCTTTCAAAGTTCCGCAAAGCCTATGGATCTCTTTGACTGTGAGTCCAACATTTTTTGCTAAATTTTCGTCACTTATTTCCTCTTGTCTCATAAGTTGATCTAACACTACTATTTGTTGTGTATTAAAAAAGGCTCTAGATACCCTCATCAACAAGGCATATAAAACACTCATGTCTGTAGCTCCTTCCTTTTCATTCATGATTGATGATGATGCTCTTTAAAAGAAAGATAAAATATTAAACGAAAATTTAAAAAAAAAATAAAAACCAAAGGCAAAGCGGAAGCTTAGAAATACAGCAGCACAAAAATGTATTTTAAAATTTTTTTTTCAACAAAAAAAAAACTAATCGTTTTATTAAATATTATTATTATTTTTTATTTTATTTATTGTTGTTGTTGCGGATAGTGGGGAAAATAAATTATTTGCAACATATTTTTATTGGTTGATTTTTTTTTAAAAAAAAAGAAAGTTCTTTATCAATATATTTGATTCGTTGTTTACAAGTATAAATATAGAATTCATCAAAAAAAAAAAAATTAATATTTTTTTTTAAATTAAAAATTTTTTAAAAAAAGATTGAAATCCAAAAATTGAATTTTATATATATATAAAGACAAATGGCAGAAGAAAATGTAATTTTGGTTACGGGTGGGTCAGGACTTGTTGGTAAAGGGATTGAGTGGGTTATTGAAAATGACAAGTCAGAAAAATTTGGTAAGAAAGCAGGAGAAAAATGGATTTTCCTTAATAGTAAAGATGGTGATTTGAAGTCAAAAGAAGCTACAAAAGCCATTTTTGAAAAATATAAACCAACGCACATCATACATTTGGCTGCTCTTGTGGGTGGACTTTATAAAAATATGAAATTCAAGTTGGACTTCTTGAGAGATAATTTGTTAATTAATGATAATGTGTTGCATATAGCACACGAACATAAAGTAATTGGATTAATAACTTTCTAGTAAAAAAGAATCGGTGACTTTTTACTCTGATACGTAAACTCACAAATCCATATTTTTATTTATATATAAAGGTTAAGAAAGTTGTTTCGTGTCTTTCTACATGCATCTTTCCTGATAAAACAACATATCCAATTGACGAAACAATGATTCATAACGGTCCTCCACATGATTCTAATTTTGGATACGCTTATGCAAAAAGATTAATAGATGCTCAAAACAAGTAATTTGTTTTTTGTTTTTTAAAAAAAAAATCAAAACAGTATCTATTTATGATTAAATTATTATAATACTATAGAGCATACAATGATCAGTTTGGTGACAATTTTACTTCAGTCATTCCAACTAACGTATTTGGGCCTTATGATAATTATGATTTAGAAGATTCTCATGTTATTCCTGGCTTGTTGCATAAATGTTATTTAGCAAAAAGTAATAATAATCAATTTTGAATTTAAATTTTTTTAATTATCAATAATAATATAATAATAATAACAATAATATATATGTATTTTTTATCTGGTAGAAAATAAAACGCCATTTATTGTTTCTGGTACTGGAAAACCACTTCGCCAATTCATCTACTCACGTGATTTGGCTAGATTGATAATTTGGGTGTTGAGAGAATACACTGAAATTGACCCAATTATTTTATCAGGTGAAAAAAACAAACAATTTAAATTCCACAAGAAAAAAATCACACAAGTATATCTTTTATTTACTAAATTAATTATTTTATAATATATGTAGTTGGTGAAAAGGATGAAATATCTATCAAAGATGTTGCTGATTCCATTGTAAAAGCTGTTGGATTTGAAGGAGAATATTCTGTAAGTTATAACATATTTATATATAATCATAAACATTATTGTTGTTTTTGTTGGTAAAAATTTTATTGCTGACTAATTAAAAAATACATATATATATAATATAAAATAAATAATAATAGTTCGATGCAACAAAAGCTGATGGGCAATTCAAGAAAACTGCAAATAATAGTAAATTAATAAAATATTTGCCCGATTTTAAATTTACACCTTTTGATGTTGGTAAGTTTCAAATAAGAAAAAATAAAAGTTTACTTTGATTCATAGGGTCCGCCTTTTTATGACTATAAATAACACAATAATAATCATTTTGATTATAATATACATGCTAATCATCTTTCTGTTGATTTTTTTAAAATATATAGCTATTAAAGAATCTGCTGATTGGTTCTTACAAAATTTTGATACTGCACGTACTGGTAAAAAATAAATACGAATATATATGTTTTAAATATATATATATATATAGATAGATAGATTATTACTATTGTTGCTTATATTTATTAAAATAAAAGGGACCTTTTAGAAAAAAAAAATAAAAAAAATAATATAACAACTATAACAATGATATCATTTATTTATTTATTGATATTTTATTCCTTTATAAATCTCAATACCATATTTACAAAATCCTTCTTCCCAATTCAAATCATCGCTGTCAATTTTCTCAATTATCCAATTACGATTCTTTAATCCATTAAAAAACATTTCATCTGATCTTGTTGTTCTTTTTTGATGTGCAATAAAAAGTCTCGTATGTTTTGGTGTAGTTAAATCTATATTTATATATATAAATTATATGTTACGGAAATAATGCAATAATAATAATGACATATAAATAAATATTTCTACCATCCAATGTCTCAATTAAAGGTTCAATCAGATAATCAATCCAAACAATATCAGATGCTATTATATAATCCCAAGGCCTATTATCATTATTTATCAGTAAAGGTAAATCTTTCCTAAAAAAAAAATGAAAAATATTGTAATAATCATTGCTATTAATAAAAAATACAAATTCTCGTAAGAAAACAAACCTATCCATCCAGTTTAACGGCTTTACAGTAATATTTTTTTCGTTTAAATTATTTAATTTTATGATTTTTTTGATTTCTGGAATAACTGATGGCATATCAGTAATCATCAGTTTATTTACTCCCAATATTGAAATCGTTATTGATGGAATAGATTTTCCCGATCCCTTTTTTTATTTTTATATTAACGTGAATATTCACCATATTAATATAAAAACGTAAAAAAAAACCCCTTTTAAACTTACAAGTTCAATTACATTCTTGTTCTGGAAAGATAATTTATTGGATCGAATTTGTTTTTCAAAGAATTTAGACAAAATCAAACTCTAATTAATTTAATTTAATAATTAATTATTCGCTCGTCAATTACTCTTCCAATTTCAATTTCTCGATTTTCTTTTTTTTGGTATAAACTTACAGAATCCCAAACGCTTTTAGAAGTTTTGATAGTATGATCCAAATCTAAACTATCATCTATTCCTTCATCTTTAGTATTATCTTTATCATCATCGTTGTTTGAAGTAAATAAATAAATCTGCTTGTTGTTTATTGTAAATCTTTTGTCATGATTAATTGAAAGTATCTTCGATGATGGGTGACAAAAATTAAAATTAGGAAATTTTGGTCCTTCTAAGAGTAAAATTGTGGAAGAAGTCATATTTTCTGAATCATTGTGTCACTATTTATTTTTCTTTTTTAAAATGACAATCAAATAAATTATACTGTCCGTCTACCTTTATTTTCTATTTTCATCCGAAATTCAATGATTCATTATAATTTATGGTCGAGACAATTTTTGAATAATTGAATACGCACGTGAATTTACAATCCATGTGATATGTAGTAATAGTGCAAGACACTTGGATAATAATAATATATGAAGTCACATGACCTTAAGAACGGAAATAATTTAATTTGTTGATGTTGAGATTGATTGTTATTATTAAATCCCCGAAATATACAGGTACTAGTGTACAAACTTAGTATTAGTAATTTTTACAATATTAATAATATGGTTCCATATGTTTCACCATATATAGTTTTGGAGCTCTGATGTTATTCGGTAATTGGTACATAATGCTCCGACTCGAGTAAAAAGCTCGAATTTGATTTATGAAAAAGATATCAAGTTGGTTCGAATTCAGCTTGAATTCGAGCTTCAAGTCTTCAACAACACGTTGTGAAACTCTTGAAAATTATCTTGAGAAAGTATCATCACTAGATCCTTGTGACAAAATAAAAAACGTTAAATTTTTTTCAATATTATTAATACACAAATCCGCCAATGATTGGCCTGTACAACTTTATTATAAATATATAATATTTTTTTGGGGGGAAAAAAAAAAAGTAAATTTCAAAAAATGAGCTTAAATCCAATTCAAGCTGAATCACCACATTCCACACCAACAATTAATTCTTTAAGTACTTCTTCATCCAACTCTTCAACTTCATCTTTTCCACGCCAAGTACCTATAAGTACAAGTTTGCCTTCTATAAGCTCTAATTATATAAATGTTAATAACAATAATAGCAGCAGTAATAACACTTCATTATCACCAGTTATAACAAATAATGACAATAACAATGCCATTGTATCTATAGGCATAAATGGAGAAGGGGAGACCTCTCCAGTTTTTCAACAAGTTCAAAGTCCTTTAACACTGCCATATTCTCCTTTTCGTGGTGGTAATTCCTTGTCAAATCGTAATGTCAATGTTATAAACTCAAGTTCCTCTTCAGCGACAACAACTTCTACAACGTTATCTCATACATCCTTTTCGATGCTACCGGTCATGGAACGATCTAACTCTACCTCAACAATGGGAACGTTTAATAGCACTAATAATAACAACAATAACAACAACCAACAACAACATGAAAAATCTCATTCGGCAGGTTCTATACAAGTCAATTTCAAAGATAATGGTAGTAATAATATATCTTCTACTATATATACTCCATCAATAGCTCCTGCTTTTCATAAAACATTTATATATGACGCTCCAGCCACTACAAAAGAGTTTGAAAAGATGGAACTCATTAACCCAAATGATTCGTGGAATATATTGGTAATAAAAGTTTTGCCATTATTTAATGGCGAAGGATTAAAATTAGCAATTGAAGATTTAAATGAGTTGGTAAGGTAAGAATTTTATTTTAAATTAATAACAAAAACTAATTTTGTCTATTCATCTAAATAATTGTTAATCAAAATATTTATTATATGAAGACGATGTATAAATGATCGATCTCCACAACAACTTTTTGAAGATATAAATGAGCTTTTAGATTCTGGGATGTTTACTCTTAATGGAAAATTAAAAGGTGTTCCTGATGAAAAACTTGTTTCTCGCTTAGTTGAGTTATGGTCATTTTATTTCGGAACAGTTATTCCTTATTTTGAAGGAGTCTTTCTACCATTGCAAATGCAAGTGGGTTCGCATAAAATTAGTATTAGACGTTTGGTGCTAATGAGTTTTAGAGATCATGTTATTTTACCTATACGTGATAGAGTTGAAGGTATTTTTAAAAAAATTATATATCATATATCTTTATGTTTCACGAGTTTTTTATTATTAAGAATATATGATTTTTCATTTGTAGATGCATTTAATAAACTATTTCATGATTTTGATTCTGGAATTCCTGTAACAGACACTGCAGCTCGTATGCTTCAAATGACATATATTTTATCGTCAATATTTTCCGATGATGACAAACAAAAAGATATAGATAGAATTTTATCTAAATTAAAAAATAATTGGAATTTATTCATGAGACGTAGAGATCGAAGAGGTTTTGTTGGGGTATCACCTTCACATTCAATTAATGTGTCAGCACCAACAAATAATACTAATAATAATAACAATACTATTAACAATGACAATAACAATAATACAATAATGATAACAAATCCTCGAAATACGCAATCTGCTACAAGAGTTGCAACAGATGATGATTATATTTCGTCTGAAATTTCTAATAATGATACTAGCAACGCAACAACTCCAACAAAGCCTTCTTCAAATCCTTTGATTTCAATATCTGCCACGACTAGTCCTTCTCAATATTAATTAATTGTAAATTTATTATTTATTTATTTATTTATTTTATTTATTTATTATTTTTAAATATATTTTCCCATTTATGTAAATATTCTTGATTATTGAAAAAAATAAAAAATAAAAGTATATGTATATGTAGATACACATTATTTATTACAATCAACTAAACCTTTATCTGTGATCTGGATGTATTAAATCACCTAACGAATACCCTATAATTTCCCATTATTTCTACATTTCTGCTCAACTTTTGAAAATGTCCCATATTTATTCCAGTGGTTCCAATGTGGTTCCAGCCAGTTCCAGCGGTTCCAGTGTTCCAGTGATGTTTCCAAACTGTTCCAGTGTTCAAGTGTTCCAGTTCCAGTGATTTTCCCACCGGAACCGGAATTCCAACACTGGATTATATCCACCAACTATTTATTCAATAAAATTTGTCGTAATTACTAATTTCTGGATGTTTTGCCATACCCCATTTAAGAAGATCTTCTCATTCGTCAACAAATAGATTATCATCAGCATATATCTTGCGGACAAACATCCTTTAGGTCGTCAAAAACATAGATATCTTTAATGTGATTATTATCAAATAATCAGTAGCAATAAGCTAACGAGATCAGTACTCATACTAAGAGGTATTAGTGTGGGAATTGAGCTTGACGATCTACGTTTGATGTGGATCCTACATTCACCCGGTTAATATTAAACTAACTCCCATGTTTGAAGAGCCAAAACATTTGAAATCTAAATATTCCACTTGTTCACATGATATACATTTGTGGCTAAAAATTTTTCTTTTGATTGGAAATATATGGGAAATGTCCAACCTGCAATAAATATAAATATAAAACTTTGCATTCATGGTGTCAATCATGCGATCCAATCTATTAACTGAAGGATGGACCAGTGGCAATGAAGCATTAGACGAGTTGATTAAAAAGTCACAATTTAAAAGCCATTATGTACGATAATTATTATTAAAGATAAGGCATTAGTATATTTCTGGCAATAAATTAAATATTTTTATTATACAATATTTTCCTTAATGGATTAATATTATGATCATTATTAAAATTTAAGAGATCACGGTATCCAAAATTGTCCATTATTTTTTTAAAAAAAAAAATTTCAAAATAAAAATTCTTTTAATATTATTATTAAATTAAAAAAAATCTCCAGATTTTTAAAAATATAATAATAATAAATTCTTTTTAATACACAGTGAATCATCAGTGTCACGTGAAATTAAGTTGAATATTCGAGATTTCTTCATAAATGACTGATGAATGGATGACGGATATCCGCGGATCGCATTTCTACGATTGCTA